TGCGAAACAACTCATTTTGTTACACAATTTAGAAAAATTGTTAGAAAACTGCACATCTTCTTAATGTGCGTTCACACTGAACATGAAAACTGCAAAGATTTAGCCAAGTTTGTCTGCTTTTGCTCGCCTTGAAATTCGCCTGGCCAGCAACACGAACAGGAAGCCTTTGACTGACATGTATCACTTATCCAACGTAACGCAAACATTGGAAAAGCCTCTGCCACTGTCCTCTTCACTTATGGTTGATGAGCTGTCAGTCAAAGGCTTCCTGACACTACTTCTCATGTGTTGGTGTCTGCAAGGTCCAATCAGAAGGAGGCTGACAGAAGAGGTTTGTTTCCGTACAACCTGTCAAAAAACATTTTCATTCGCTTTAAAATCTGTCTGACTGCAGAGGAGCTTTCGAGAGCGTAGTCGCTGGATAGAAAATCGTGAGATCCCGAGCACGATCCAACGCGTGTGTGAGGAACTGGTGCGCGCCAGTTTCTCACACGTGTGGCTTTGTTGTGTGGTGGTAGATAAACCATGCTCAGAAGTAGTGCAACATATATGCGAGTCTGTTTATTTTGCTCACTGGCATTTTGAAATAAATGTGACGCCATAGATGGTCGTTGGTTTCACCTCATCATGGTGGACATGGGTCGACGTGGCGATTGGCAGTGTTTTTTTTTATTTTGAAAGCAGAACAAAGCTGTTGGAGTTTCCCAGGTTCACCAGATTCCCAGAGACGGAACCAGTATAGGGGGATACCACCACTGAAACAGAGGCTAGGTCTGGATTACTGCCGGTTTCCACGGCATTTCCACCGTTCCACGACTCAGTTTGGGGCCCTGCTGTCCTTCTTTGGGGGGATGAATCACCCGGTAATCAGAGGGTTAGGTGAAACTGAGACAGGAGCAGCTGGAAAGGAGTGAGAGAAAAAAACTGGCAGAGAAAAAACTGAACCGGGACAGACAGACAGACAGACAGACAGTGGCAAGTTAAGGAGAGAAGGCCTTGACTGTCTGCACTGGAGGTAAGACGAAGAAACGGTCCATCAAGCGCTAAATAAATACGGCTTTTTAAAAAGCTTTAAGAGCATTCTCACTTCACCCTTTGTCAACAGTATTTTCTCTATTTCCATTTTTAATAAGCTTGTTTCCGCCTCTGTAGCTTGCAGCCAAATCCAGTCCCTGACTGGATTTTGCCACGCAAATGTAAACAAGAGTTCAGATTTTTTAAACTTTATTAGCCGGTGAGGTGGCGATCAAATGTCGCCAACTTTGCAAAAAATCGTGCGGTTCACCTCCCTAATTTCGCCAACTTTGCCTCACTCGGGTTAGCTCCAATTTGCTGCGCTCCAGATCCGCTCTTCTACATAGATAACATGGGAATCCATTGCTCCAGCTGCAAAATTCACATTCGGCGTATGCGAGCTTGACTCAGAAAATCTGAGTAAGAAAGGTTGCTTAATTCTTTCAAACAAAATGAAAGTGTGGTTTTCAAGTGAAAATCAGACTTTGAATCCATGATATTTAAAGGAAAATTGTCCAATTTCTTCCTCCAAGGTCTGAACTTTGTTCCAAATGATCCATTTCTAGTGCAAATAAACATTTTCCATTGTTAACGGTTGATATTTCAATTAACCTTCTGGCTTCGTTCTTTTTTTTAAAATTACTTTTATCTCTTTGGCCCAGATAGGGTAAAGTGAAATATGTTCTTGCTGTGTGTTATTTTGAAAAGTTGTAAAATAAAATCTTAAAAAGAATAAGCACTTGAGCCTTTAAAAAAAATACTTTTTATTGTTACCGGTACTTGAGTAACTTGTTGGAGTGCTACATTATCCTCTTAATTCAGTACAAATATGGTGTCTTGCTCCTATTTGAGTGCAGTTTTTGGTACTATGCTGACCTCTGGTGAAAGTATATGACCATGAGGAGTACAAGCATCTGAAGGCAGGGAACTTGAAGGCTGTCAGCTCAGATATTCTAGCATTCTGACTGCTGAGTTCCAGGTTCTGGGGTAAATTAAATACAAAGTTTTACCTGAGAGAGAGTGGCTGTGATGTAGACGTATACCAGGCTACATGAACCAGTTTAAATGGGAACATTCAACTGCAGTAAACATATTTCAGCCCCTAGAGGGCAGCACTAGAGCTGTCAAATTTTGGGGAATTAAACATGCTTACATAAAAATGTTTAGACTTTCATTTAAACATAAATATGGCATCCGGTTTATCTGACAGAAAGTTGATTTTAAGTTATTTTACTCTTTAACGTTTGATTTGCCGATTTAGCTGCACATTAATAGCCTAGTAAACTAGCCCCACCTGCCAGTGGCCAAAATCATTTTAGCCTGTGAGTGGTCTAGCCTCGATCAATGCCCCAGGCCCTGGAACTGGCGGGCCAGATTACAACGCAGAGATGTGTTTTGTAATTTCTGGATCCAAAGCGGGCGGGATTTTGAGGGCGTGACAACAAAGGTGCACGACGCTGGAGAAAGCACAACAAGGAAGATGGCAATGATTATTGAACAGTTTGACTCAGCTTTGGAATCAGTCTTGGAAGGATTAGACTTGGAGTTTTCGTTGAAACGTGAGCAGGAAGAGGCTCTATGCTCATTCATATTTAAGAAGGACTTATTCGCCATTTTACCGACAGGCTGTTTGTTTACACTCCCCCACCAGCTTTCTGTCGCATTTACTACGTCACAGTCAGTTGCGCACATTGGTCAGATCTTTGGCCAATAGGCACAGACATGGTTTGAAAGACAACGCGTTGTTCTCATTAACAATCTTCCAATCTCTCATTGATCAGGGCCAGACTAAAATACACATTTAATCTCACATTTAGTCTGGTTTATCAGGCTAGCACATTAGTGCAAAAACAGACAGAACTGAGTTTCCCCACTGTGGGTCAGTAAGGGCTAAATCTGTTCTATTCTATTCTGTTCTATTCTATTCTATTCTATTCTATTCTATTCTATTCTATTCTATTCTATTCTATTCTGAAGAACTGAATGTTGTTCCCTTTAGACATTTCACAGCAGTGGTTTTTAAAGTGGGGGCATTTACAATAAATCAGCCTTCCTGTGTCACTCTGGCTTTTTAAATATAAAGCAGCTCAAGTTACAACACAAAGTGTGATAACACCTGGGCATAGAGCTGCCTATGACACAGACAGACATCAAGCCCCGCCCACCCACTACACAGACACTTTAGAAGATTTATGGCTTCTGTTATTTTTGTTGAAAACTTTGGAATTCAATCAGAAAAATGATACAGCTTAGAAAAAAATGTTCTTATGCTAAATATATGTAAAGGTAATTTAACATAACAGTAATTACAAATAAGGAAAAAACATCCAAAAAGTTATCTTTCTCTACATATAATTTAGCTTTGTCTGATAGTTTTTCCCCTCCAGAAGTTGATGCTGAGTGCTGCCGTTTGGAAACGTCTGCTTCAGGGCAACATCCATGAACCTCTGATAAAACTTTAAAACAACCCTGAAAAACTTGGTTCAGAGAGCAGCAGAAAAATAATCGCACACAAAACAAATGAAACAAGTTGGAAACAGAGTGCAAAGGATCCAGAAAGTTTATAGCATCAGATTTTACATGTCACAGTTTTCCTTCATGCTGAAAGACGCAAACACAGCTGACTGACATCTTAGTGTTTTAGCATCGGCAGCTGGTCCCTCGCTAAAAAAACAAAAACAAAGTCTTAATAAGAAAACCAGCCAAAAGACTTGATACAACGAGGAAAGAGTTTTAGTGCAAATATGTATTATAATGGCATCCAGCCAGTAAATGTTAGCTCTTCATACAGCGATCAGACAGAGAGGACGACCACAGAGATGAAGGACATGAGTGCAAAACATCCGCCTTTGCTTCAAATGGCAGTGAAGGTTTATTGTCATTGTCTGATTCCTTCCGTCAGATTCAGAAATGAAACATCAACCAAAAGACATGAAGATAAACAACAGATTTCTGCTGTTTCCCTGAACTCAACACGGAAAGTTCAAAGTCACACGAGATGGACTGGTGTGGAAGAAATATCACTGAACTTCACTGATAATGTACTGAGAAAAATGACCACAGATGGAGAATCTCTGTTTTTTCTCCTCACATAAAATTCAAAGCTGGCAGAATAAAAGGCTGAAGCAGATTTCAGAATGTTGGAGGAGAACTGACTCCCACTGAAGTCACAATAATAATTTAGTCTCATTATGTGTGTAGAAACCCTTTTCTGTCAAAGAAAGAAAGAAACCAACATGCAGAACAGCCTTACATGCTGGTTTATGATCTTAAAGTCATCTGGATAATGAACATCTCCATCTCCTCACATGAACATTCAACCAGATGTTTCAATAAAGATCTGAGCTGCTGGATCTGCCTGGTTCTTCAAAATGGTTCTGACCTTATAAGCAGCACCAGCAGTTCTGGGCCGGTCCACAAACATTTGATGCAAATTGGCTGAAATGACATCTGCTCTGAGAACCTGCTGGTCTGAAGCACATCCTGCAGGTTTCTATGTGTAGGAACTTGTGGGAAATGTTGAGCTTCTATGTGTCTCCATGAGGACAAACCCTACCAGAGGTCCAATTATGTCTCCTCCACTGATCTGTTCACGCTAACAGAGAAAAGCTTACAGAGAAACAAAGTTTCGGCTTGTGAGCACATGTGGATGTTTAACAAGCTAAAACCACACATGGAACATGTTCTGCACGCATGCTACATCTGGTTTAATATGTGAATCACATGTGAAATGCTTCCTCCACATGTGATTGTCATGTGCATAGGTTGGTAGCAATGCCTGGCAGTATTCTCCACACGTGAACCTGGAGACTAGCAGTGTTCTGTCCCTCCAGCTGAGAGCAGAATCCTTTAGCTCCTCCACCTTCATCTGTAGATGCATTTACTGCTTGTTGGAGAAAACGTTTTCTTTTTTCCACTGGTTGTTCTATTTTGTATTATTTCCTTTTTTCTTGCAGGGGTTAGCACAATCACTACAACAGAGAGGAGTTAAAAGGTTCCTCTGCAGCCAGTGAAGTCCCTGCTTTCTTTTGACCTGACTGATCACCGTTCGGTAGCATGTATCCTTCTTTGTGTCCATGTGGGGTGGATGTATTAGTGGTTGGGTGACTGATGTTATTATTATGCTCTACTGTTACAAGGATAAAATAAAGCTACTTTGAACCCCGTTAAACCTTGTCTGTCTCCCTTTTTTTATAACCTCTGAGTCAGGTTTCAAAGTTGGGGGCTTGTCCGGGATTATCTGACTGGTTGTTGTTTTAATTTTTTGTTCTGCAATTTCTTTTCTCTCGGCTGAAAGTATCATTGGCTCTGTTGTTCTGTGTCCAAATGACACAGAGCCATTGCTGCCTTTAAAGAAGCATAACACAATAGTTCACCACTAGGCGGGGCTGTTGAGCACTGCCTGTACACCAACCAGTTGTGTGACTGTTTCATATAATTCTGTTTTTCTGGGGCTGTTCACCATTTAGCTCCTATGATACTTGGGTCTGCCTGTACATGGAGGGGCTAAGCCATACTGCTATGTACGGCTTGTAAACATAAAACTGACAACACACAAAAACGGTGTGTGACGTCACACTGTATTCCATCTATTTAGTTCTTCACATCACTATATTTATTTTTTTCTATAAAAATCAAGGAATTATTCGTATTGCTTTCGATTTCTCTGTGACATAGAAAGTACAACTGGCTTAATGGCTGCTCTGTCCTTTCCCCTACCAGCTGGTCCAGGGTGGCTGCTTTTAGAGAGTCTGGTTCTGTTTTTTTAGAGAGTTGCTTCCTGTTTTTCTCCACATGCTCATGGGGAGGGATTGCTGCAGTCCAATTTATTATGATCATATTTATGGTTGTTTAGTGTTGATTTTTCCTGACTTTGGCCACCAGGGGTCCTCAGTCACCCTTTCATGCCCTATCATCCTTCCTCCTTGTTTATTTTCTCCAGTTTTCTATATTTGAACTCTGGTTTGTCTAAAATCGAACATCTACTCTGAAGGCCTGATGATGATCAGAACCTCAACCTGTGGGGAATGTGGGCCAGTCTGAGCTCTGGTTTCACATTGCAACCTGCTTCAGGGTGTTGTTAAGATGAGGAAGGCCCTGATGAAGAGGAGGGTGAAGAAGATAGAACAGCTGCTCTGAACAAAGCTGGAAGGACAAAACGGAACCAGGATCTGTTGGACGGAATCAGAACCAAATCATCGATCCAACTAGAACACTGCTGGTCCAAATTCACCTGCACCTTCCTGGAATTCCTGGGAAAGGAATTCTCCAGGATTCACATCTTAACTCCCAACATAAACAAGAAAAAGTGTTTAGAAAACAGATGATGCATAAAACCACAGGATGTCTCTGCGGCTGTAAATGTGGTTCTTTAGGATTTCCACGGGTTGCTGTGACACCAGTCAGAACCCAGAGAACCTCAGGAACTTGGAAAGATGTTGGGGATGTGGTTGGGTCTGGAATCCTGGTCCTGGATGTGTGAGCTGCACCTCTGAGGGGTTCTCTGGAGAACAGACAACATTAAAGCTGGAGCTGAAGCGGTGAACAGACCTGCTAAAGCTAAAGATTCTCATAAATGGACAAAGACCTGAGGCTAACCCTGAATCTGGACCTTACTGAGTGCAGCCTCAGCATCTATCAGGTGGGCTAAAGCCCTGCTGTCCATCTAAGGGGCTAAACATCTGATCTGAAGCAGAAACATACGTACCTCCAAAAACCTCCTCAGTGTTCAGTTTCCCTGCTGAGAGAGGAGAGAGAGTACCGTCAGAAACCGTAACAACTTCAACCACACAGAACTTCTCCTCATGTGATCCAGTCTCCCTGTTAGAGGTCCAAGTCCTCAGTTCTATGGGCTTTCTAGAGATATTCCTTCCTCCTCATCATCTATCTATTGTAATTCTATTTTTAAGTGACTGGAAAAAATATTTCTCCTAAGTTAACTGAATCACCAGAATCAGAACCAGGTCTGAAACTGTGAAAAATTTAGTCAAAATCCAAAGACTGTCCTCAGAAGACACAGAGAACTAGAAGGACCAACTCAGAAGATTAGAGGTTAATCTGGAACACAGTAAGGAGGGTGGGTTCAGATGGTTCCAAAAGAGCTGTACACCCGGATGTCAGAACATTCCCAGTGAACTTTAGACAGCGGCTGATTGGCTGACAAACCAACGTACAGCAGCAGAGTGAGTCAGCTTGTCGAAACGAAACTTCAGGTTGGATCTGGGAGAGTTCTTGTTTTTCAGCTCTGAAAGAGGAAAAAAATCCATATTACCCAGAGGGAGGCAGGAACCATGATGGGACATGATATGGGGGGAGCGGTTTACTGAACCTGTGGGGCTGCGGCAGATGATCAGGGGACAGGAAGCCTCGGGCGTTGAGGTCTGAGACAGACGGAGGGAAGTTTCAGGATTACAGATCAGATCCAAGTCCTAAACTATTTCTCATCCTAAATCTGCATCAAAATAAAGTATTCTAAATCTAATAACCCCCTGAAGGTTCCTCAAACCAACCCAATGACCAACCATGAAGGCCATCCCTTGTATCTGACTGAAAAAGGAAAAAAATGCTTCTGGTTCTCTGCTCTGGTGCCACCAAAAGGCCACACAGTAAACTACAGCTCTAACTTCCCCAGGGAGTGAGGAAAAAGCCCAACAGGTTGAAGGTTTTGGGGGTTTGTCCCTCACCAGGTGTACGTCATCAGTGGGGACGCTAAAGCTGCAGGTGCTGGACGTGGATCTGGAAATCTTATTGCTCTCCTTCTTGGGGTGAATCCTGCAAACACAGAAACGTTCCTGCTACTGCTGCTTCATTGTTCACATTAAAACAAAAAGCGAGAGTTAAGCTCACCTGTCCCGTTGTCCTGCCTCTGGAGAGCTGGGATTAGACGGCAGCTCTGACTTCACCTCCAGCGTCGGGTGGCAGCAGTCGAAGCTGCGCTGTTCGCTAAGGAGGCTGATGGATCCCAAGGTAAACCCGACAGAGAAAAAAACCAAAGTTAAAAGTTGAGTGCAGATATTGTAGCCTTGTTTACAGATGGAGTTCCTCATGGCTCTGTTTTGTTTTGTTCTTTGTTGTTTTTTAGCCGGCAGATTTTTTTAAAATCAACTATTATGCAGACGATGTGATGATATTCTGATCTATCAGTTTATCAATATATAGGAGCTGTCTTTCTTCTTTAAAGCATTAATAACTGCTAAGAACAGGTTGGAGTTACCTCCTGTGGCTTTGTTTGTCGGTCTGGCTGTCGACACTCAGCAGGCGAGGGAACAGGCCTGAGCGCCTCTTCACCGGAGACTTTACGTTGCTCTGAGGACAGAAACAAACTGCTGCTAATAACAGCTGCTGGGATCATTTCCCAACTGCAACAAGCCGCTGGTTCCACTTACCTCAATGCTCAGGTGGACCAGACCACCCCCACTTAGACTGGTGGGTAGTCCCGCCCCACCGCGTGACATGGTTTCCATGGATACGCTCCGTCCCTTCATCGCTCTCTGAAAGAAAACAGCCGGGCTTTATTTACCTATGCGCTACAACGCCAACCAGAGGCGATTAACTGAATCCAAGGACCGAGAACCCATAAATAACCAAGACGTTACAGGAGGGAAACAATAGAGAATGTCTGTAACATCAGCGAAACCAGATCGGCAAATTATGACCAGTTCTGGTAAACTACTGTATGATTTTCCCTGAATTAGTAAACTCTGAGAAAACGGGATTGTTTGCTGCACCTGTTGTGTTTAGCTGAGAGAAATCAGGGGTGAAGACATTGAGTTCCTAATAGAGGTGGGAACCCTCAGACTGACCTTGATGGACTCCAGCAGACCTCCATGGGCATGGCCGTTCTCACCCCTTCCCTCCTCCTCTGCCCCTGAGCTCAATCCCAGCATGCATTGCGAGCGTCTCTGCAGCTCATCCAGGAGGCTGTCCAGCAGGGCCGATCGCGTCCGTTCCTAAACACAAGCAAAGAAAGACCAAAACGTTTCAGAGACCCGACAGCCTCCTGACGTCACAGAAGGTCCTTATCTGACGGGGTTCTCAGTAGGAAAATCAGGAATTATCTCAAACTTTGATATCATAAATTGTTGGAAAGCTGATGAAACATTTTCTTGGGTCAGAATCCAAGATCAGACGTAATGACTGAACCATAGGGCTGCAACTAACAACTGTTTTGCAAATGTATTAATCTGTTGATTATAGTTTTGATTAATCGATTAAGAACCGAATAGCAAAAGGTTCCGTAAAGAATATTTTTTGCAAATATAATCAGGTGAAACTTAAACTTTTCGACTTGACAAGTTCTGGATAGAGCATATTTACAATTATAGTATAACTGCTGCTTAAAGTGGTTTTCTCTGTCAGCTAAAGGCATATATTACAGTCTCTAGACTCCAATTAATGATTAATTGATTACTAAATTTATTGATTGCTAAATTTGATAATTCAATAATCAATTAATCATGATTATTTGAATTTTTTTTTCAACCCTACATGGGAGCAATATGTTTTCCACACATCCTACTAGCTGAGAGGAAGCAGCTCCCCCTGCTGGCGAGGTTACCTCCAGTCGGGCAAAGCGTTCGCTCTTGTAGGAGGCCAGCTCTGCGTTGATGAGTTTGGTGAGGAGAAACTGTCTGAACTCTGGACCCTGCAGAAAGGAAACACTGATGTGACTTCAGTGAAGCTGAACTTTAAAGGTCGGTGAGATTTACTCCAAAAGATATCCTCACCTTTCTGAAGATGGCGGGATTAGGCAGTGGCGGCCCGAATGAGGGAACATCTTCTCGAGCTGTGACGGATACCTGTCCGAGATTTGGCTATTTAAACACTGATGGCTGGTCGACATTCAGCAGCTTATTCATGAGGGATGCCTCCTCCGTACCTTGTAGGTGGTGTTGTCCGAGCAGGGCTCCTCCACCTGCACCAAGACGAAGGCGTGCAGGAAGTTGGAGGCGATCATGTCGGGAACGAAGGGCGTGGCCTCTTCTTGGAACACCAGGGTCACAATGTCATTTCCTATGTGGCGTTTCCTCTGCAGCTGAAAGAAACCATCGATAGAAACAGATTTAAATTAGAATATCAGATCTGAAATGTGCCGACTGGCAGAAACCAGAACATTCCCTAAAAAATGGAGTTAAACTTCTATCTGGCCTTCAATAGATGCTCTGGTTTTACAACAAGTAGGAATGCAGGTCACCTTCTAGAAGGTCAGAGATGAGATGTTCCTGTTCCACCAATCAGACTGAATGACTTCCTGTTCGTTAAACAGAACTAATTGTCCACAGATGTTTTGGCTTCTAATCACGTGCATTTGTTGTTCAGCTAATGACACGGTTCTGCCACTGCGGTTAAAGGTGTAATGGAGGTTTTTGCGAGTTTTTGAAAAGATCCACCCTCTAAACTTAAAAAAAAATACACGCGCACAACCCTGTACCCACTTCAAGAGGGAACGCCTATTAATTGCGTGCGAGAGCATGAACGAGCCCATTTCTCCTTGTGCACCCTGTTTGAAAGTTGCCGTTCTCTTATCTCAAACAAGCTTACTGTGTCAGAACATCTGCCGTAAATCCTAAATCCCTCAGTCACTATATAGAGCACGGACTATATAGTGGACTTTACAGTAAACTCAGTTAAATTACTGTTCAGACAGATGATCACTACTTTTTGCTCCCCATTGGTTACGTAACTCCTCCTCCTCCAAGCGGTGCCTGCGCCATCTTTGTTACAAACAGACAGCAGCAAACCATTTGAAAACAAATGGTGAGAAGAGCAGTTTTTTCCCAACTTAGCACATTTGTCACTATATATAGCGACTTTTCAGACTCCTCAAGCAGTTTTATTTCAAAAAAGCCCCTAGCGCCACATCTAAAGACTTTTTTCTGCTACTGGAGACTTTGGTGAAAACATATAAAAGCATCGAACTGGTTTGGAGTGGTAACCCCGCCTTCTGCTCTCCTCTATCTTCTCTGCTGTCATGATTCATGCAGCTATTATTTCATCCAAATGAAAAATGGAGAACAGAGAAGCAGATCATGGCTTGTCTTCAGTGAAAAGAAGGACTGGGTTATTTACTTTTGCTGTTGCCTTTCTGGAAACACAGGAAGGAGCAATCAGCTAAGTGAGCTTAGTGCTTGGAAAAAAATCTGTCATTCCTTTTGAGACAGCATGAAAAGTCAGCTGAGTACAAAACATAGCGAGGGAAAGAACAAGAAAAGGGATGAGAAAAGAGGGACAAAAGAACAAACAATTTATGTCTATTCTATTGCAATTTCTGTCTCTGTATAATGGGTCTGTTTTATGTGTTGTCTTCTCAGTTCAGAGGGCCCCCTGCCTGTCTTTGCCTAGGGCCCCAAATTTTATAAATCCGCCCCTGCTTGTTATTACTTGCTGCAGTCTATGGCAAATCCCATCATGCTTTGCTCTCCGCACAAAGCATTCCGGGATATATCTGCCTCTTCTGAGGCCTTTCTTTTCTTAGCTTCTTCATGGTTCACCACAGATATACGCCTGAAAGTGTGCATGTGCAGAAAAAGTTAGCTAACTGGGGACGAGTACGTAGGACGACCTTATGTAAACGTATCACTAGAATGATTGACAAATAGGAGGACCACTTATTTTGATCATCCACTCGTCCATATTTTGATTGCTAACAGGCTGTTGCCATGGTTATTTGGTACTATCAGACTTTCCACCAGATCACGTTTTTTCAACATTGGTCAGCTTTTAGCGGCAGTTTTTAACCTCTTGGCAACAGGCAATATCAAAGCCAACTATAGCTGTAATCATCAGAAGGTGTGATTATTGTGGCAGCAGGTGGGGAATAATTACTGCTCTTCTGATTAAAACCGTTATGATGGTTTAATTTATCTTGTTTTGTGTTAATTCTCTTTCACTCAGATAATCATATGTGAGCATCTGATAAAGAGTCAGGACTATTTGTCTTCAGGTGTTTCCACTTGAACCCAAAAACCTTCCCTGGGTAAACAGAACCAAACCGAACCAGTGATCTGAACTCTGGGAAGTCCATCTACCTGCTGTGGGTCTCCCTCAGTGAACGGCAGCTTGGTGGAAACGTGGAACATGATCTCTTGTCCTCTGTGGACGGTGTAGACAGACTGAGAACCCGTCTGACCGTGAGACACATCCAGACCCCCCCGGAACCTGCAGAGAGGGAGCAGAACCCATCAGGATCCATCTGTTGGACCGCATGATCTTATTCCTGGTGTGGAAAGATAAATATTTCCCCCAGTCCCACAGGTGGCGCTACAGGCAGACCAAATACTATTTCAGAATGCAACATATTTTGTTCATTTTTTTATTTTGTTTTTTATTATTTATAATTTTTTTTTGTTCGCAAAGCTGGAAACAAAGTATGAAGGACAACATTTCCAATAAATACCTTTGAACGCCTGAATAACCAGATGCTTTCTAATAAAAATAACAATATGTTGCCTTTGGAACCCAGCAGGAGTGACCCTGAGGAGCTGCAATGACAGAAAGACTAGGATTTCACACCTTGGGGCTGCAGATGTTTGCACTTCTCACCCCTTGAAGTCCTGCAGCTCCACGGTGTCTCCCAGCAACTGCAGGAATTCTGTGAAGGCTGGCGTCTCCTGGTTGTTGGTAAACAGCTCCTCCTCAGACACCTGCCGACAGGTGACACTCATTCAGACCCCAAACAGTCAAACTGTCACATTTAAAGGCTCTAAGAAAGAACAAAGCTGTTAGGATACTGAGAGCTGCTGGTGGAAAACAATAGACCCTATAGAAAGAATGACGTGACACTGTAGCTGAACTGCAGAGCTGCTTCAGCGGCAACCCAGGCGCACTTAGGAGCATTGTCACAGATCCTTCTTCCAAGCAGCTGTTAAACTTCCTCACCTTCACTGCTTCCATTAAGCTGCTCTCTGCTTTCTTTTTCTCATCATCTTCCTAGCAACT